TTTTTTTTTTTTTTTTTTTTTTAATCTTTTTTTAATTATTTTATTTGATAATTTGGGCTGAATTATTGGGCCATTGTGGATGGATTGTAATTTTTTTTTTCTCAGCCTATTCCCATTATATGTTTTTAATTTAAATTATTAAAAAATAATTTAAAAGTTATTAATAAATTTTGATAACTTTAAATTATTTGTAGCATATGTTGGAATTTTTCCACTTTCACATATTAACGAACCATTCCAAATAAGAAAAATATCCCATATTATACTATTTAATTATTATTTTAAAATAAGAAAAAAATGTATATTCTTTTTTTTATATATATATTATGTCATTTTTTAGGTATGTGTAAGTGAAACAAATTTTAGTAGTTATTTTTTAATTCTATAAATCAAATGAAAATGTAAAATGAAGCAAAATATGATGTATGATATTACTAGACTTTCAGAAGCGATTCAACTTCTGTGAACGCATCATACAACTCTTCGTTGTACTTGTGTTCTTCAAGTGTACTTGTTCCCCCTTCTTCCTTCCCATAGGTGAAATAGCTTTGATGAGAAGAAAAAAAAGAGGCTCGAGAGACACTTTACCACTAAGAACAAATTACATAATACACATATCACTCCAGACATTCACTCAATATATTGCCCATATTAGGAAAACAGAATTTGGCTTTGCTTCAACTTGGTAAGAAGTGATTGTACAACAGCGAAAGAGAACTCAAAAGGTACCATATGATATGTCAGTTTCCGCCATAACCAAACCACAAACCACTGTGGCCAATTTTTGACGTTGATCCCAAAACTATGGTGGTCTTGGTCTGGTGGTGTGATCTCTTCAGACGTTAACAACACCTTCATGAAGCAAAAGACTTCCATTGAATTTTAAGGAAAAAAAAAACCACCGTAAAGTTCACATCGCCACCGAAATAACAGTGGCTGTTCGTGTCAATTATTTTCACAATCCCCCAAGACCTCCAACAGATGCAACTAATTGAAAATATTGCGGAAAAGGACCTACCAATGTTCCAGTTGGGGCAGGGAAAAATTGATAATATGAAAAATCAACTGTCTACGACGCGCTATTTAAAAGCTTATTTAACTCTCCCAGTAAACTCCAAGGAGGAACGGATCTCCTAAGGCTTAAGAGCCAAGGCCAGACCGATCTTCACATTCTTTTCAATAGCCCGTGTGTCGACTTCTCCTGAAATGGTGAACAACGATTTTGGGCGCCATTCGTGCTGGATTAGAGCACTTGTCCTACCATAGTTGTTCACCCGAGCCTTCACTGATGTCAGGTGATCAAGAGCATGCTGTGTGCCTATTGTAAGAGTATTCTCGTTGCTCGAGAAGCTGTGGGACAGCTCGGCACCAACCGCCGTGTTGCTCAATGGGCTAACAAGGTGGTAATAGGAAGCAGTGACAGCATCACCTTTGTCATTCCTGTAAACCGTCAACAACAAAATGCATATCATTTGTATGGTCCAGGTTATGACAGAAGGGCCCATAAGTTCTATAGGAAAGAACATTGTTCTGAAAGATCTCCAAATTTAGAGTTGATCTTTTCAATAGAGCCATTAATCTTCTGATAGAAAGAATCCTTTCTTGACAAATCTCTCGCTAAAAATTGATTTATCCAAGTAAAAGTGTTCCATTTTTGTTATAATATTTTGAGAATGAGGATAAAAAATAACTGTTGGAATGAATTCAACACTATAAAAGAAAGACGTAAAAGGAAAGAGCTTGCTTTCTTACAAGGTAAGGGCCGCAATAAGATCAGAGTGAGTGTAACTCAAGCCAGCGTTCAATTTCGTGAGGTTTCCTGAAGCAGTGTCGAATGACAAATCCGTCCCAAGTGAGAGTTTATCATTTCCAACAACGCCCGAGAAGTTAACAATGGGGCTGGCAGTCAGACCAATGCCAGTGCTTATTCCAGCATATTCATGTTGATATAGGAGTTCAACCTGAAAAGGTGATCATAAACCAGATGCTTGCAAGAATCTCAATCTGTGTCCATACTAGGGGTGCAAATTGTTCTATAAGTAATGTCGCACGATAGTTATACTTCAATCTACTTTAACATACAATCTAATATGCAGTATGCACATTAAAAAACTAAAGTAAAATAATGCATAAAAATTATTAAATGTTCAAAATAGTTGAAAATATAAACTAATTTAACTATTTTCTTTCAATAAAATTATATAGTAACAGGGAAAAAATGCTTGCAAGAAACTCGTTCCAAAAAATTATTATCCATGAGAGACTCTATCCCCATGCACCCCCAGGAATTTCTCAAAAGATGGGAGTTGTAAAATCCCACATCAGTTGAAAAGGAGAACGAAATATTCCATATAAATGTGTGGAAACCTCTCCCTAGTAGACGCATTTTAAAATCTTAAGGGAAAATCTATAAGGAAAAGGCCAAAGGGGGCAATGCCTACCAGCGGTGAACTTGGACAGTTACCGGAGTTCTTTTGGGGGGTAAGGATGGGGGTGGAGAAGCCATCCATGTTTCTACCAATTATTAGCAGACTACAGGAGATCATCAATTTGTTTTGTCCAGTAACATTACATAATTTGAGAAGTAAATTGATAACTACCTTTCCAGATCTCTGGTCAGGAACACGAAAGCTGAAAATTGTCTTCAATCCTGGAGCAGGTTCATCAATAGTAATAGTAGTGTGAACCTATATTAAAAGCAAAAATAACCTTTTAGCTTTAAGGCTTCACATCAGCAGCTACACAAGCGTTTTTTTTCTAATACAATCCAAAGGAAACTACTTACATGCAGAACACTTTGGAGCATTTCATTATACAAACTTATTCAGTGAAACTAACTTACATTGGAGTTAGTGTCAACTTTTACATCAGTTGTGATATTGTTGTTCTTTAGCTGAGTGCTTACATCTGCCAAAAACACCTCACCTTTCTTAACTCCAGTTGAACTGATAGCCTGAAAAGCGAATTAAAGATAAAGTTCAGCAATAATAGAAGAGAAACACAAAGATTAAAGATACGTGCCATACTGCATCATTTAAGGGTCAGAGAATCGAATGTTTGTCTCATAACAAATGCATAAAAGTTGGCCATACATTACATCGTAACATTAGATTATGGCAATTACTATATACACTAGTAGTTTACATATTTCAATATCTAAACATAATGAAAAACTTAGAGAAATTAGAGCTTTGTAAGAGATTGTTTAGACAAATGGTAGTATTCAATATATCAAAAAATTTGCGAGTGGCGAAAAAGGGGCTTTCCCTTGGGAGTGCTTGTCAAAAATTTGCATTTGGCTGAAGTAATTTAAGAAAACCGTGCAACCTATCTAACGCAATAACGAATGTCCCAATTCCTTGGAAGAAGAAAATGAAATACGAACAACCGCCAAGAAAACGAAAAAAAAAAAACGTATATTGCTAAATCTAAACATTTTCAATTCGTTGTTCAACAACCTCCACAAAAATTACGAAACAAACTTGACACGAATTCCAAGAATCCTTCAGCTCTTAAGCACTCGGTACAGAGAGATTAAAAACAAGATCGACATCGGGTCTGAAAATGACAGTACTAGTAGAAATAAATTCTTGAATCTTAGAAACAAAGATTACAGCCTTCCGACCTACCTACCAAGAAACGAATATTAATTACATAGAAAGAAGCGAGGTCAGTCGGTCCGTCGGTCAGAAAGTCGGTCAACCAAACACAAGGGATACACAAAGCAATTACAGCATAAAGAATGAACAACAATTTGCGATTGCAATAAAGAACAAAGAAAAAGCAACAAAATCCGATTATAAATCCAATAAAAAAATAATAATAAGAAACTCACAACTCCACCGGAAGTGTAAGTAGTGACGGTGAATTTATGGTCGCTCTGGTAATCCTTGTAGAGAAGATCTACGGAAAAAAAAAAATCATTTCAACGAGAACTACATACAGAAAAAGAAGAGGAACAACAAAATGAAGAAGAAATGAAGCAACCTCTAGCTCTCTTGCCGATGTCGGAGTAGAGACCTGGACCTTTCCCCATAGCTTTTTCCGAGAAGACGAGATTGAAGAGCTTTGGTTGAGCGCAGAGGGAGAAATGAGGAAATCGTGGTGAAGCCTGGCCCTTGAAATTTGAGGAAATAAAATAAAAAATAAAAAATGAACGCCTAAGGAAGAACAAGAGAGAGTTTATCTGGACCGTTGGATGTTGCATTCGGTGGTGACGCGGCTTGGTGACCGTTGATTTGCGGTCTAATGAGTCCTTGAGAATCGGAACATTGGACACGCATATTCGTTGTTGCAGCAAACCCTTGTGGTTTGGATTTCATTTTCTAAGCTAATATTATGGAATTAATTATTAGGGTATTTCCATTTATTAAATTCGTTTAATCTCATTACAAATCATAAAAATGGGAGCCACTCATACTCGCTAACATTTATCTAGCTACGTGGTTCCTTACTCTCATCTGAACAAGATCACGGTTAATAGCTACGTGGTTCCTTACTCTCATCTGAACAAGATCACGGTTAGGGAATGGATGAAGACCCATTAGCTGCACCCATAAAACTCGTAAAAGGTTCGTGCATTTCATGGCTCAACTCTAGTTCTACTGGTTAGACGAACACTACTCTCCACAATGGTATGATATTATCCACCTTGAGCATAAGATTTCATGGCTTTGTTTTGGGCTTCCCTAAAAGGTCTCATTCCAATAGACAGAGTATTTATTAATTATAAATTCATGATCATTCCCTAAATTAGCCCAGGTGGGACTTTCATCCTCCAACAGATTGTTGAGGATTATTGTGGAGATCCGTGATTCCTAACATGGTATCAGAGTCATGCCCTAAACTTAACCATGACAATAAAATCCTCAAATATCGAAAACAAAGAATTGTGAGCCTTGAAGGTGTAGTCAAAAGCGACTAAAGTATCGAACAAAGGGTGTACTTTGTTCGAGGGCTCCAGAGAAAGGAGTCGAGCCTCGATTAAGGAGAGGTCCTTGAGGCTTATAGTGTACTTTGTTCGAGGGGAGGATTGTTGAGAATTATTGTGGAGATCCGTGATTCCTAACACTACTAACTCATAAACATAAAGGTCTATAGCAGACCTCTCTCGATCGGGGTAAATTTACTATTAGAAAATTAACTAAAAGACCTCTAATAGCTCCCTGTAGAATATAAATCATCTTAGCTAGTTATAAAAATATTGAGTCGAGTTCACAATTAGGAGTTAGCTGACGAATCCCTAATCATCCCTGTATAACAACATAAATGTATCATACACGAACATATCATCAAAGTCGTAAAAATTGAGCATACGATATATTGACATACTTTTCATCAGTCAAACTGACTTATTTTATATCAATTTATTCACATAATCCTCCTTAAAACATGCTCGAGTATACCATACAAGTATTTCTTCAATTAAAATTCTAAGGTGGTACTTACGTGGTTTAGATGCTACTTTGCTCATTGATTTGGGTATGCAACGTGCTCTAAATTGTCCTTAACTTCTTGAATAAGTTCTAATTAAGTGAAAATATTAGTACCATCGAAATCGGATCGAAAATCAAACAAAACTAGGCCAAACCTCTCTGAAACTCGATTTGGTGAATCTAGTCGTGTATGAAAAAAATTATGGCATATTAATTATGATAATTTACGATTAAAAAAAAACAAAAGTAAAATGGATTTGTATTTTACTTAAACAATCTCGTTTAATCATAGTCATTGTCGTAGGCTAAGTGTAAAATAACGTCATTTCTCATTGACACGACTCTCCACAATGGTATGATATTGTCCATTTTGAGTATAAGCTCTCGTGACTTCCCAAAAGGTGTTATACCAATAGAGATAGTATTCTTTGATTATAAATCCATGATCATTTCCTAAATTCGCCGACGTGGGACTTTCATCCAACCGTCTTCTCGAGGTTATCTCTTTATCTCTTTCTTTATTCATTCGTTTCGGCATTGAATTTGTTGGTTAATTTTTTGGGTTCACCATTCTTAGGTTGATGATGTTTGGCTCCATGGCCATTGATACCAAATTAGATAAATATGGTTCCATCGTAAAATCAATTGGCAACGAGACGAGTAATCAATATACGATCTTATAAACACTATGACTCTTATATCATATTTAGTACTGAATTATAGTTTACCATATATATCATATTTGATATTTTATTATAGTCAACATATTTGTTTTCTATTACGGTTTATTATCTATATTTTTCATTTATTGTTCTTTCTATTTATTACTCTTTCCAAATCCTTAAATTTATTTGATTATAAACCGATAACTTTCACACCATTTACGTGTGATGGTTTTAACAAATATTCTCATTACCGTTAATGAATATAGACGAAGTGATAAACAAGTTAAACGAGGCGGATGACATCGAAACCTTGATCAAGATTGAACTTAAAAAATAAAAGTCAATCCATTCTTAATTCTTTTGTACATAATATCTTTGTATAAATTCCTCGAATATGGATAAACCATGGATCAACAAAGATAGGTTATCGGGTGATCTTCATTAAAGTGGGTAACGTCACTTAGAAGGATCGAAGTTCATGTGGTGTTAGGTTCGATGGATATTCATCAAAGTGAAGGTTAAGATTGAGACGTTTTGGTTGCATGGCTTGATACTCTTGTTCAGCTCAGCTCACAAAAGATAAGATATGTTTCTCGAACTTTGGTGAGTAATTAATTTACTCAGTAAATAGTTAGCTTGTTATTAACAAGTTTTATTAATTATCTTTCGATATGTTTTAAGTTTTATTTGTAACAGGTTGTTTGTAGGTTTTTGGTCTAGATCGGATCCTCGATCTAATCATTAAGCTTTATCCGTTGGTTTTGTTTATACTTACTACAAATTTTTGACTCATATGTAAGACACGCTCTCGGTCAAATATGGCCCGTCTAGTAAACTCTTTTAGCAGCTTGAAGTAGTACACAACCCGATGATCAGGAATACTTAATGTTCACAATTTAGCACATAGCATGTCGGTCAAGGGTTCCGCGAGGATTGATAAACTTGTTTAGGACCTTCGATATGTTACTTATATCGCTCAACTCTTTTCTCGCGTATCACATCATTAAAGTCGTTATTTCTTCCCAATTCCTTTAATTTAATCTATACTCAATAATTTTTAAGGTCAATATAGATCAATATCGATAAAAACAAGTCAAATAGGACAAACCAGAGCTCGTCACACACCGTCACGCGCTCACCATGCACCTTCCACCTTTGGCCATGCACCTTCCACCTTTGGCCACATGTCTCACCCATACTGCCTAATTCCAAATCATTCATGTGGAGTCAATTACCGAAGAGACTTCAATTCCTATTGCGCTCTTCTCGTCCAAATTGATAGACAATTAACAATAGACAAAGAAATAGACAACAACATAACTATCCAATCATAAACATATGTTTATAAGAATAAATAGTACTCTATTTCAACAAATCAGATCTCGATCCATTTATATTTATGATTTCGTAGCATTATTCATATGACTTAAGAACTCGTTCAATTTGAACTATCCAATCTAAACCAATCCGAATTCGACAAGAATGAGTTGGGTTAATTTTTTTTTGTTTGAGTTGAGTTGAATTTGAAAAATCGAAAAATTTAGTTCAGTTCATCAATTAAATTTTTTCTAGTCGGACTAAAAAATAGGATTACAACTTAATCCAATCATATCATACTTTTTGGATTATTATGAATATTAAAAATATTTGACATTTATAACCGATGTGAGTAATGATTACGACTGAATATTTGATATTATTAGTTACTAACGTTCAACCACACAAATCTAAACAAAATCAAGGAAATTTACTAATAATTTGAACTGGTTGCGATCTTGTCGCCATCTTTTTCTATGAACTTTCTAATTTTAGGCATTAAAAATCCATTATTGGAAGCCCACAATGAGTATATAAACTCAACAATCCTTCCTCATAATCATCAATCATCAAGGCAAAAACATTCGTGGTTGGCCTAGATCATCTGGTGATTTTGGCTTTGGGGTTCTCTCGAGAGCTCACTCATCCTCACCAGCGGTTCTAGGTCAACACAAAAAGGAAAAAAAAAAAAAAAAAAAAAAGAAGAGAGAGACAAAAGCATAACGATGGCCGGGTTTAGAATCTTGTTCGTCTTCTCGTTGTTGTACTTTGTCGCGGCATATACCGATGCCAATGTCGATGTCGATGACCATGATGAATATTGGCTCACTCGTGCTAATGAGGCTAAGAAAGTAGCCCAAGATGCCTACAATCCTAAGCCAGAAAGCGTCACTGAGCATTTGAACGTCGCCGTCCGTCTGTAAGTAGATCCATAATAAATAAAAGTGTTTGTGAATAAATGAAACAATATGTACATCATGAACTGTCCTGTAACGAAAATATGGTTTGGCAGGGCGATGGTGGGTGACAATAGTACAAGAAGGAGTCTCAATAAATATAAAGGACCATGTTTGAAGACAAACCCGATCGATAGATGCTGGAGATGCGATAAAAATTGGGCTAACAATCGAAAGAAGCTAGCCGAGTGCCCGTTAGGGTTTGGCCATCAAACCATCGGCGGAAAGAGAGGACGCATCTACGTGGTGACCGACGCATCTGATGATAACTTGGTTGACCCCAAGCCCGGAACCCTCCGCCATGGCGTGATTCAAAAAGGTCCACTTTGGATCATTTTTGGACGTAGCATGGTCATCAGGCTAGCCCAAGAGCTGATGATCTCAAGCGACAAAACCATCGATGCTCGTGGCTTTAATGTTCACATTGCCTATGGCGCTGGCCTCACCATTCAATTCGCCCACAATGTTATCATCCATGGCCTTCACATCCATAATATCATCTCCAAATCCGGTGGCTATATTAGAGATTCCGTTGATCATTATGGATTTAGAACACAAAGCGATGGCGATGGTATCTCCATCTTTGGCTCTTCTCATATATGGATCGACCATGTTTCCATGTATGCATGCCAAGACGGCCTCATCGATGCCATCATGGGTTCCACCGGCATCACCATTTCCAATAGTCATTTCACTCATCACAACGAGGTATCTAATTATTTCATTTATGACATTCTGCTTTGTTTATGACATACCATTGTGGGAGAGTCATGATTCCTATCATGGAATCACACCATTGTGGGTTTGTCGTGCTTCCTAACGCGTTAGGGAATCACACCATTGTGGGGTTGTCGTGCTTCCTAACACTGTATCATCTGTATATGAACAGGCGATGTTATTCGGAGCAAGCGATAGCTACAAAGAGGACGAGATCATGCAAATAACCCTCGCATTCAACCACTTCGGGAGGGGATTGGTGCAAAGAATGCCAAGGTGTAGATTTGGGTTCTTCCATGTGGTAAACAATGACTACACCCATTGGCTAATGTATGCCATCGGAGGTAGTCAACATCCAACCATCGTGAGCCAAGGCAACCGATTCATTGCGCCACAGAACATCAATGCAAAAACGATAACAAAGAGAGAGTATGCAGATGAGAGTGAGTGGAAGAAGTGGTCGTGGAGATCGGAAGGGGATTTGTTGTTGAATGGTGCGGTGTTTGTTGGGTCGGGAGACCAAACCAAAGGGAAGAAGAAGGACTTGTCGAGATATGACATGATTTCGTTCAAGCCAGGGTCTTATGTGAAGAGACTTGTACGCTTCGCGGGAACACTTGAATGTCGTGTAGGCAAACCATGCTAGCTTTTTTTCTCCTTTTACCATTTTTTTTCTTCGTTTTTATTCTTGTTGTTCTTCCTTTAGAACTAATAAATTCCAAATTTTCTAAAGAATTTTATATAATTCATCCCTATCCCTATCCCTATCCCTATCCCTCTCCCTCTCCATTCTCATGATGTACTTTTTTTATATTTAATTTTAATAATTTGTATGTATCAATAATATCTTAAATTTGATCTTGTTTCTCTAACCTTGATGTGCCATC